CATCCACACCCACACACCCACACCCACCCACACCCACACCCTCCTTTCAGAAAACTGATAAATACTACTATTTAAATCTGATCACTGGTTCATCTGTTCGAATGTTTCACTGGGAACGCGTTCACTCTTAGCGTTTCGCACGCAAATGAAACGCGTTTCCAAACAAAAAATATTTAGATATATATATATGATGGATTTTTCCTTTTCTTTTGTTCTTCTTTCTTTTTATATTGTTTTATGAATTTTTCATTTATGTTCATTATCTATGAAACTTTTCATTTGATGAATCTCTACTCATCTTCATTATCTGTTAGATTTTTTCTTCTTATTCTGCTATATATAATCATTTAGTTGTTGTGAAAAAGAGAAGTGTAATATACAGGGTAGATAAAAATGTTTTTTTTCCAAGAGGAGTAACACTGTGATTTCAAATAAAACATTAAGAACAATTTTTATATCAAATTAAAATGTGTCGAAAGTGGAATTTATCAATGCTAAATAGTAAGATCCTAGAAATATTTGAAAAATAGTCAAAAATGAAGCTGAAGAAAATTGCTATCAGAGACAGAACACAATCATTATGATGAAGAAACTCTAAAAAAAAAGAAAAGAACATATTTCATATGTTTTGGCAAATATAAAAACAAACATTGACCTATTTCAAATTATTTTATGTTCATATTTGTCTCATCCTTCTGCTGTAAAAACGCTCGTGGTTGATATCTCTTTTGATATTCATCATTTTATGCGAAATCTAATTCGAACTACTTCATGAAAGAAAAATTTTTCTCTGCTGATATAACATAATTTTGACATAAAATTTGTTGTTGATACTATTTAAAGTCACATTGTTATCCTTCGAGAAAAACATTTTTTGGGTGTGAGTGTGGGTATCACATTCGGAATGTTCATCAAAACTACATTCGCACCCACAACCAACTTTCAAACGATGTTTTATTTCGATAAATAATGGGAAGGTAGATTAGATGATGAAGAACAACCTTGAACATGCGAAATATAGTATTAGAAATATTACTTGTAATCAACTAACCTACTCTTAGAGGAATTGAGTGTAAGTTTTCACATTAATTTACACTGAAACTTGTATTTATCCAATAAATTATTTTTAAATAAAGAAGATATGCTTGATTTCTTATGCAGAAAACAAATCGATAAAATACGAAACCTTCATTTTGAAAAGGCTGAACTGCAGCACAATCATACAGTATGAAAATTAACTATAGCTGAGCATTTTTCTGAAATATTTCAATTATAAACCTATTGTATGTTTTCGTTATGTGCTTATACGATGAGTTCATTGATGTTAACAATATTTATGTTAATGTATGTTAAGAATTCGATGTCTAAACGTCTTTTGATAATATTAAACTATTTATATGAAAAAAATATCACCTGTACTTTAAATGAAATAAGACAAAATGAAACTAAAAAAAACAATTGACTGTAGATGATCACGATCAGTGATGGATGTGGGTGTATATGATTAAAGACAAACAGAACACCCACACCCACACCCTTCTATCAAAAGATGATCCATTTTTATTCAGTGTAATGAATAAGGTTCATGAAACTTTTCGCTATTTTACTGGAGTTAGTGTCGATTTTAGTAATCGTCAAAAAAAATAAAGTATGTGGATTTATTGTTGCATCAAATATTGTAAACAATACTCTTAATATATCTTTAATAACCAATGAAAATTTATGAAATTGTTCAAAATATATTACAATTCAAATAATTGAATATTACAAAAGAAATCCACAAATAGCAACTAATTATCGGAATACAGACAGGATTTATTTAAATTAGAAATGTTTAGAAATTATTCATCAAACTAGTACTCTCTTTTTAGCTACTTGATATACGAGTAATATTTCTGATATAATATCTCAGTTCTTAGATTAAATCATCGTGATGGATTTCCTGGATTTGTTCGAACTTATGAAGAGAATGGACATACATATATAATTCACTTGATCCAAATACGGATACATTTCAAACTACAAACAAAGTGTCATGTACTATCAAACATTTATCCAAAGGTTTTATATCTTCTTTGTTACATACTTGTTCAAATGATCAACAATAACTATCACTCCATTGTAAATTTGTTTGGTGTAAGAGGTAAATTTACATGTTTTGATGATATTAATCAAACTTCTGAAAAACTTTTATTCATTGCTGGTAGTGTATTGGTCTTACACCATTTTTTGCTATGTTCGAAGGCCTATGTCAAACGAAATAAAACGTTAATATCGTTATTTTATTTGCTGGTCATGGTGATGAAATAGATTTACTCAAAGATTTTCTTTCATCTCCGATTATGTGTTTATTTTTAATTTTTTTAAATGAATATCAGAATAAATATAATTTTTTTTATTTAATGATTGAAAAATACAACATTAATAAACAAAACATTTAAAAAGGAAAATACTTTTTTTTTTTTTTTATTGAAATAGATTAATCAATCGTCGTTGAATATAAAAATAAATTAAATAACATTCTTTTCGAAATTTTTTCGATGTCATTGTATATAAATAAAATGTTAACTAAAAGTAAGAAATAAAATATTCGATTTTATTTAATAAAATGACTTACTGCACAATGAGTATAAGCAAGATTTGATACAATTGTATTAATAAATGAATCAATAGCTAAATGATTAATAGTTTTAATATTCATTCGTGTTATATATGAATATAAACTATATGATGCCGCTGGTAAATTTAATAAAATAAAAATAATAACTTGAAAAAAACATAATCGAATTAAATGATAATCTTTATTTGTATATTTTCTTGAATAATTATTAACTATTCGTAGAAAATATTGATTATCATTCATTCTCAATGAAGAATTAATGTCAATATGATGATTAGTATTTGGAAATATTTTATTTCTTAATAAATTCTTTAATAAAAGACAAGTAAATATAATTAAAATAAAAAAAGGAAATAAAGTACATAATAAATCAATAATTCGATACA